ACAGCAAAAGAGCTCCTGCTAGACGTTGCAGTCATTGTTTTGGTCTGAAATTCGTTAATGAAAGCAACTAGGCCAAATCCCAAGTTCTGGAAAGAAGACATGCGGAATTAGTATTACCAAGTTGCATGCAAATTGCTCCCTTATCAGTCACCGAAAGGTTTATGAGGATCCATGAAAGCTAAATAATACCGACACAGTTTTGAGCTTAACAAAAATTTATTGCATAAACTGACACAGGACTTTAGTTTGCATGCCACTCGCAATCACATGATTAACTTGTTGCATATAGCATGCCTCTTATGGATGATAACAATCTGAAATGGAACTACCACGTCAATTTATACAACAAATCACTCGTCCGACAGTTGAACTTGTTCCATTACTCTCCAAATTAATGCAAGTTTACTTTTGAATTAAGCCAAGTTTCATGCTGATACGGAGTTGAGACGCTTGGAATCATGTCTTATTTTGAGCCACATCATCTTTCTATGTGATCTTAATACGATACAAATGCTGGTTGTTAAGTTATAGTCACTTACATTGTCCTGATCAACTTCTCTTATCGTCTCTTCGAGGCGAACATCCTCTATGCCAAACTCCTCACAAGCTACTTGAAGCTCATCTGAAGTAATATAGCCACTTCCATCCTTATCAAAGTAGGAGAAAGCTGAAAATAGATGATCTTCTCTCTCAATTTTTTTCAGATGCAATGTTGCAGCTACGAACTCCCCATAATCAATGGTTCCACTGTTGTCAGTGTCTATCATCTTGAACATTTCTTTCAGGCCAGCTATTTCTTCTTCAGACAACCTCTCTGCAATTGCTTGCCAAATAGTCAAAAAGAAATTATCATCCTTCTTGGTGAAAGACTATCTGAAATACAGTGTTTATGTTATTAATTGCGGTACTGGCCAAAAGAAAAGAGTTACTAAGGGCGTCTAAAGTATGTGTCTGGATCAATCGTTACTACTCTGAGAGGCATTTTCTTGGGCTTGTTCATAGCTGAAAATTGTCTTGAGCGACTTAGAACTGCAGAATCAAGAGCCTTATCAGGAGCCACACCATCAACTTGCACCCAGGGGTGGCCTGAAAGGAATAAAACCTACCATATCAATAAAAAGTAGACGACATTCCTAACACCAAATTGTGATTAAAAAAAAAAAAAAGAATATTAGGATCCGGGACACACATTTTTAGGGGTCCACTCTATAATGTATTTCAACGATCCGAATATCTATCTTTTAGGTATTTCCTTAAACATCATGTCTACCGAAAATTACCCAAATCCGAAACCATATGACCTTTGGATTAAATTTAGTGTTTATTTGTAGAATTGTATTCGTCTATTTTGTTCACTATAAATGAATGTCTTAATGATTTTGGATTTGTCCTATTTTTTGCAAGGATGATCTACGAATGATGTACTAAAATAGAGATAGTTTGAATCGTTGAAATACATTATGAAGTGGACTCTATAAAATGGGTGTCAAAATGTGTGTCAAAAGCTTCTGTCCCCAGATCCTAATCCATATATATATATATGTATGTATGTATGTATGTATAAGAACTGTGATTTCAGAAATGATCTCAGGAATTCTTAAGAGATTTATAAAATTAAAGATTTAACTTCAACATCAGATTTTAATATCATAGTAATTGAATAAAGTTTTTGCATATTTCTTTCTAATTTTAACAATCATATCTACGGTAGCTATTGTCGGTCTGAAAGACAATAATATAAATGAAAATACCCCTGACAAGACATGATACGCAAGTGATGTGGAAGGAAATCTTGTCTAACTTTTACATAAATGAGATAGATGGTAAGCATATCAGAGCTCACGGAAGAAGAATGCATTTTTGCATACTATCATTTAATATGATGTATGTTTATTATTTTATTTATCACTATTAAATAAGTTTAAATTTTAAAATTTGTTCTAATCTATTACACAAAAATACTTTCTATAGAATAACCCGTAAATGGTGGTAAACAAAAATACTTCTTGTGGAACAACCCGTAAAGGGGAGCATCAACGAGGCAATTATTCAACAGTCAGATATGCACTTGTTTTTGTTCAACTTCCATGTTTTATTCCATATCTTTTGGACAGCACAGCAGCATTAAATTTGATATACAGTCCACGTGAGTAGTTAAGGTATAGTATTATGCCCCAAAAAATCTCCAAATAGAGCAACCTACTGGTGCTTTCTAAGAATTTACAAACATGCATTTCAGTAGGAAAAATGGATTCTAATTAGTGCAAAACCCTCCCCATTAATAAAAAAAACCTCAAACTTTACAACCAACAATCCTAAAAGAAAAAATAACTAAATAATCAACAAGAAACAATGAAAGAGACTCACACAAAACTTCATGTGCTGTCAGCCGCCTTTTAGGGTCTCGCACAAGCATTCTCCTCACTAAATCTTGGCACCATCAGAAATACTAGGCCAAGGGTCTGATTCAAAATTAAGTCTCCATGCAGGACCTGTTCAAATATTCCCTGCTCGCTTTCTGTTGAATCGTAGCAAAGTAAAGTAAGAAGAAAACAATGTGGAAAACAGTTACAATAAGCAAAAGTAAGGTTATATTTACCTAAAGCATGAAAATAAGATCATCAATCAAATATATATCAAGTTAAAAGTTCCCACCAGCCCAAAATGGAGGTACCCCACTTAACAGAATGTAAGGGATCACTCCTGCACTCTAGACATCTCCTTCTGGATCATAACGCTCACGTAACACTTCAGATGCAACATAATATGGGCTTCCAACCACATCGGTAAATTTTACTCCTGCAAGGAGGAAACCACGAATATTTGAACTCACAATTTAATCATCATATTCTGAATAGTTTAATCTTCAACTATAGTTATGTGGTTGTCAAATAAACAAAAGAAAGTAGCAATGAGTCAAAAAGAAGCAAACTTGTCCAAAAGTAACTATTGGGAAGCAAGCACATCCACAACGTGGTTAAATGTGGAAGTAGGAGCAATAATGTAGAGTTATATGTATTATTGTTGAATCCTATCCAGCACATCCTAGAAACTCTTGTTGGTTCCATAACTATATTGAAATTTCCACTGATGAAATCCAGTTTTAAACTATTAACAGAGAAATTATATTTTCTGGAAACAAGTTTTTGCCATGAAATTCCATAAAAGTTCGTTTTCTACAACGACTAGAATTGAATCTCAAGGAAAAGTTTAGATTTGAAGTTGGCATTTTCTCATAAAATTCATAAACCTGTTTGTGAAATATAACCAAAATAATCTGTTATAGTAAATTTTTTTGTGAGTAATGATACGTGTTCTCACATCTTCTGCAAACTCCGTTCTTAAACTTCATTCTCAAAAATGGTTCCTTCAGAGACAAGTGCTACAACAGCACAATGGTCCAGAACAAAGATGTTCACTTCTTGCGTGCAGCTCAAACCATATGTATCTCAGTGCCCCAGAGAGGTCAAGACTACTCTGTCTGCCGAACCAACTAAAAGAGCAAACTGAGTGACAAGTGTTTGATCGTTTCGTTTATTGTTCTAATTGAGTTAAGTCATTCATGTTGAAATACTTTTTAGTGGGGATCGATGTGAGATGTGTCAAAGTAATAAGTCCTTCTAAGCAATCAGTCATTGCCGTTACCACCCCAATATCAACATGGAATCTGTTACCAGTAAATCGCGCGACGCTAGCACAGGCCAACGACTCATCGAGATAATCTCATGCACCGGTGCACGGCTGACGATACGTTAGCTTGTCGAATACAAACTTTTTCAAACATAGACAATGCCAGAACAGGTACCGAAAGAAAATACCAAAAACAATGTGCTCACTGCTCCATCCGGTATACTGCTAACCCAACTCGAAAAATTTTGGTCGCCGGCAGAGAAGCTGAGACATTCACAGCTGTTTTCTTTTATGTTACAAATAGCAGAGTACACAGAAGAGTTGATAACACAATTGCCCGACCAGAAAGCCTATCCCCTACATGTACTAATACAAAACCATTCACCTACTACATGTACTAAAACAAAGGCATCATCATTCCGACTAAAAACTGGTAATAAATTGTGAAAACTTACGCTCTCATTGCAACCACGAAAATTTGGCTCGTGTGGGTGACAACAGCCATCTCTTACCTCTAGTATTCACCCTCAGACAAAAAGAGAAACTCCTAACAACCATACCACTGAGTTTTTACTTCTTCCGGCGCCTGTTGTGTTTACCCTTAATTATTCTTCGGTTGTCACCATCACCACCACTGGAGCCAACTGGGAAGCTGCCTCCTAACCACTGATTCGCACCCAAACTACCAGAAGCCTGAAATGGGTTAGGGTTCTGTGGGTTGGTTAGGTTCTGTTGGCCTGCAAATTGGAAGGGCCTTGCTGCTGGGGCTGCGGGTGTTCCTCCGAATACAGAGGCAGATTGTGAGGTTAAAACCGGCTGTTGACCAAAACCTGGGGCTGTAGGTGTCGATGCCTGATTTGTGTCTTCGGCCATACTGTCCTCCATATTCATTTGATCATTATTACCTGGGGAACCAAATGGAAATACAGGATTGGAGTTGCCAAATGGAGGCTGTGATGGGGCACTAGTAGGTGCAGTTGAAGTGAATGAGAACATGGAAGTTGAGGATGCACCATTGGATGACCGAAACAAAGATCCACTGTTGTTATTTGTAGAAGAAACCGTGGATCCTCCAATAGTAATAGGCGCACTGATAGTAGTAGCTGCGGCAGACGAGGATCCTCCAAATACAAAAGGTACACTGTTAGTGCTAGTAGTAGCAGCAACGGAGGATCCTCCAGATACAATAAGCACTGGCCACCATCATGTAATTCATTAGCTCTAGGAATCAAACTCAGAACGTATCGTAGTACAATATGAGCATGGAATTCATCCATAACCACTGACCATCCCATGGTGGTTAACTAGGCGAAAGTGTTCGAATTTTGGAAATAAATAAATAACTAGGAGAAAGTGTTCATTTGTGTCAATGACATAATAAATCAGTCTATGTTTTCATGGTCCACTTGAGTAGTTTTACCAATTACGATCACAATTCACAAATGTGTTCCAAACCAAGTCTGCATTTATTCGTTATACAAAGAAGAAAAAAAAAACATATGCCAATGAAAATGTTTCTCCTCGCTGTATACATGATAGAAAGGGCACCGAATTTCGGATGCAAAATCCCCTCGATGTGGAAGTCTCAACAAATTCGGAGAAAACAACCCGAAATGCCTGGCTCGACTTGGAAGAGTGAGCAGTTAAGCACCTTTCTATACAATCTTAATACCTCAAAACAATGACGAATGAAGCAGGAAACCTTCTTTGTTATCTATGAACTAAATTTCAAGTGCTTATCTAAAGGCAATGCTGAAGCTACTTTGCAATCCCTTCTTACCCGGGCCAACAAAATTTCCTTTTTGCATCATGGCTACAAACTCGTTGTAATCTATGCGTCCATCCTGCAATAACAAAGTAACACGGTAACTCTCATATATAAACAGATCAGAAAAGTTGGGTTCACACAATAATTTCTCCCCGATGCAAGTAATATAAACATTGCGACAAAGAAAAGGCACAGATTCTTGACTTGTCCCCCCCTTTTCGGTCGTCATGCGTTCTAAACCCCAAATTTACTGTACTATTTCAATTATCAATACTACAGTAGCAAAAGAGCTCCTGCTAGACATTGCAGTCATTGTTTTGGTCTGAAATTCGTTAACTAAAGCAACTAGGCCAAATCCCAAGTTCTGGAAAGAAGACATGCTGGAATTAATATTACCAAGTTGCATACAAAATTTGGATATTTCAGTCACAAAAGCAAAACAAACTGGAACCATTAACTATTAATTAATGAATGATTCTAAATTGCTCCCTAATCAGCCACCGAAAGGTTTATGAGGGTCCATGAAAGCTATATAATACCGACACAGTTTGGATTAACAAAAATTTGTTGCATAAACTGACACAGGACTTGAGGTTGCATGCCACTTGTAATCACATAATTAACTTGGTGCATATAGCATGCCTCTTATGGATGATAACAATCTGAAATGGAACTACCACGTTAATTTAGACAACAAATCACTCTTCGACAGTTGAACCTGTTCCATTACTCTCCAAATTAATGCAAGCTTGCTTTTGAATTAAGCCAAGTTTCATGCTGATTCGGAGTTCATACGCTTGGGATCATGTCTTATTTTGAGCCACATTATCTTTCTATGTAATCTTAATATGATACAAATGCTGGTTGTTAAGATATAGTCACTTACATTGTCCTGATCAACTTCTCTTATCATCTCTTCGAGGCGAACATCCTCTATGCCAAACTCCTCACATGCTACTTGAAGCTCATCTGAAGTAATATAGCCACTTCCATCCTTATCAAAGTAGGAGAAAGCTGAAAATAGATGATCTTCTCTCTCAATTTTGTTCAGATGCAATGTTGCAGCCACAAACTCCCCATAATCAATGGTTCCACTGTTATCAACATCTGCCTGCAAATCGGAAAAAAGTGTTACTTTATGATCTTTAAAAATCTGTATATAATGATATTGGCTCTTTTGAGAAACAAATTCTTAACTAAAGAGACTAGTACATCACAAATAGATGAACACTTAATTGGCCTAATCATATGCACACCCCCTGTGGCTAAAGTTCAAGAATTATAGTATTTATGAAAAGTAGATTCCACAGATTAAACAAGAAACTGTCACTCGTCAATATTCAATAAATTTTGTTTTTGAAAAACACGACATTAAAATGACAGTTAAAACAAACAGACTTAACTTCACTTTTTTCCCTAACATAAAATACTACCAGTCTGTCTTCATGGCTGGAACGATCATGATGGCTATGGCCCAATAGGGTAAGAGGGGTGGTGGGGAAAGGTAAGAGAGATATGATGAATTTGATTTTGGTCAAGTTTCTCTAGGGGAAAATAACATTTACATGTGCGTCTATTACTATGCTACTTCTTGATATCCCAAAAAGATAATGAATCATTATAGTTAGTTTAAACTTAAAGTACTCCAATTTTAATCTGGCACATACTGCTTGCATTAGATCATAAATTTCAGACTCCTCCAGAGTTGCTCCAAATCTTTTCAATCCGGCCTTGAGTTCGTCAAAAGTGATTTGACCACTGTTGTCAGTGTCTATCATCTTGAACATTTCTTTCAGGCCAGCTATTTCTTCTTCAGACAACCTCTCTGCAATTACCTGCCAAATAGTTAAAAAGAAATTATCATCCTTCTTGGTGAAATCTGAAATACAGTGTTTATGTTATTAATTGCAGTGCTGGCCAAAAGAAAGAGAGAGTAACTAAAGGCATCTTAAGTATGTGTCTGGATCAATCGGTACTTACTCTGAGAGCCATTTTCTTGAGCTTGTTCATAGCTGAAAATTGTTTTAAGCGACTTAGAACTGCAGAATCAAGAGCCTTATCGGGAGCCACACCATCAACTTGCACCCAGGGGTGGCCTGAAAGGAATAAAACCTACCAAATCAATAAAAAGTAAACGACATTCCTAACACCAAATTGTGATAACAAAAGAATATTAGAATCCGGGGACACACTTTTGACACACATTTTTTAGGGGCCCACTATGTAATGTCTTTCAACAATCCGAATGTCTATCTTTTAGGTCTTTCCTTAAAGATCATGTCTACCAAAAATTACCCAAATCCGAACCATATGACCTTTGGCTTAAATTTAGTGTTTATTTGTAGAACTGTATCCATCTTCTTCACTACAAATGAATGTCTTAATGGTTTTGAATTTGTCTTATTTTTTGCAAGGATTATTTATGAATGTTGTACTAAAATATAGATGGTTTGGATCGTTGAAGTACATTATAAAGTGGACCCTACAAAATGGGTGTCAAAAGCCTGTGTCCCCTGATCCTAATGCATATATATGTATAAGAACTGTAATTTTATGTGTAGCAGCAGAAATGATTTCGGGAATTTTTAAGAGATTTATAAAATTAAAGATTTAACTTCAACAGCAGATTTAATATCATAGTAATTGAATAAAGTTTATGCATATTTCTTTCTAATTTTAACAATCACATCTAAGGTAGCTATTGTCGGTCTGAAAGACACTAAAGTAAATGAAAATACCCCTGACAAGACATAATACGCAAGTGATGTGGAAGGAAATCTTGTCAATCTTTTACGTAAATGAGGTAGATGTTACGCACATTAGAGCTCTCAGAAGAACCCATAAGGCGAGCATCAATGAGGCAATTACTCTACAGCCAGATATGCACTTGTTTTTGTTCAACTTCCATGTTTTTTTCCATATTTTTTGGACAGCGCAGCAGCATTAAATTTGATATACAGTTCAGGAGAGTAGTTAAGGTATAATATTATGACCTGCACAAGCTCCAAATAGAGCAACCTATCGGTGCTTTCTAAAAATTTACAAACATGCATTTCAATAGGAAAAAAGGATTCTCATTAGTGCAAAACCCTTGCCATTAATAAAAAAAACCTCAAACTTTACAACTAACATCCTAAAAGAAAAATAACTAAATAATTAACAAAAAACAATGAAGGAGACTCACACAAAACTTCATGTGCTGTCAGCCGCCTTTTAGGGTCTCGGACAAGCATTCTCCTCACTAAATCTTTGGCACCATCAGAAATACTAGGCCAAGGGTCTGATTCAAAATCTAAGTCACCATGCAGGACCTGTTCAAATATTCCCTGCTCACCTTCTGTTGAATCGTAGCGAAGTAAAGTAAGAAGAAAACAATGTGGAAAACAATTACAATACACAAAAGTAAAGGTCAGATTTACTAAAACAAGAAAATGAGATCAAGAATCAAATATATAGCAAGTTAAAAGTTCCCACCAGCCCAAAATGGAGGTACCCCACTTAACAGAATGTAAAGGATTACTCCTGCACTCCAGACATCTGCTTCTGGACCATAACGCTTGCGTAACACTTCGGGTGCAACATAATATGGACTTCCAACCACATCAGTAAATTTTACTCCTGCATGGACGAAACCACGAATATTTGAACTTTCAATTTAATCATCAAATTCTGAATAGTTTAATATTCAACTCTAGTTATGTGGTTGTCAAATAAACAGAAGAAAGTAACATTGAGTCAAAAAGAACCAAACTTGTCCAAAAGTAACTATTGGGAAGCAAGCACATCCACAACGTGGTTATATGTGGAAGTAGGAGCAATAATGTAGGGTTATATGTATTATTATTGAATCCTATCCAGCACATCCTAGAAACTCTTGTTGGTTCCATAACTATATTGAAATTTCCACTGATGAAATCCAGTTTTAAACTATTAACAAAGAAATTATATTTTCTGGAAACTAGTTTTTGTCATGAAATTCCGTAAAAGTTCGTTTTCTACAATGACCAGAATTGAATCTCAAGAAAAAGTTTAAATTTGAAGTTGGCATTTTCGGTACCGAAGCTTATCCAACAGTGTACCAGGTTAGGTACAGTTTCGTAGAGAGATAAAAGAACATAGGGAACCCGCAAAAGAGGGTGGTTCACTGGGTGAAAGTGAAACAGTGCAGACAAACGGGCCACGATACAAAAGGATAAAGAAGATAGTCTGAGGTCTCAAATATTTAATGAGTACGATTGCAAAATTAATGGCTGAACAGCGAATAACAAGACATGGTGAACTGTAAATTTTTATCATAAAATTGCCACCCAGGTAACAGCTCAAGGTGTATGGGCTATGGAATGAAATTGAGCACGGAATAAGTTTATACCAAAAAATGCAATGCCAATGATAAAGCTACAGCTCTAAAAAATTACGAGTAATGCTTATTTAAGAGGTGACAAATATAGAAATAACTTAGGTCACATTCTTTATGTTCCTAACTTTCGCTTTTTGCTAATAAGATCAAAAGATCATGCCTATCATCTAAAATCTATTGATTTGAATTTCAATCAACAAAAATTTCTAACGTTTGATCTCAAGTCCCATTTTCTCATAAAATTCATAAACCTGAATGTGAAATATAACCAAAATAATCTGCTATAGTAAATTTTTTGTGAGTAATAATACATGTTCTCACATCTTCAGCAAACTTCGTTCTTAAAATTCATTCTCAAAAATTGTTCCTTTAGAGACAATGGCTACAACAGCACAATTGTCCAGAACAAAGATGTTCACGCCAAAGCAATAGTTAAAACACGATTGAATGTCAAATTCAAAGGGTTTGGTGAGACTGGTGAGTGAAAGAACACGGTGTTAAGTATTATTCAAGGAGCAAACAGACAATTAAATATTTAGGGAAAATAAATTCTGTTGTCCATGCAAAATATTGCACTAGATCACACCTTGTTTTGAAGGGTTAAGGTAGACTTAATAATCTTGATCATCATAACTCAAATGACAATAATAATATGAAATGGCACTGATAATATGAAAACTGCACGATGACAATTACCTGGCTTCAAGAAAATAGATAATCCAAAATCAATAGTTTTCAGAAGTGCATCCTCATCCTGACTGACAAAAAGAAAATTCTCCGGCTTAAGGTCTCGATGCATAACTCCCAATGAATGGCAAGCTTCGACAACTCCAACTATAGTCCTAGTTAGCTCAGCTGCCTTTCTTTCTGTATAATGCCCACGCTGGATAATCCTATCAAAGAGCTCACCTCCTGCACATAATTCCATTACAACATGAACAGCTACAGCATCCTCATAAGCTCCCTTAATAGATATAACATTTGGGTGCCCTGCCAAATGGTGCATGATCTGAATTTCCCTCCTCACATCCTCCACATCCTCATCAGTTATTAACTTCCTTTTTGCAATCGATTTGCACGCATACTCTTTCCCTGTCGCCTTCTCCACACACAGAAACGTAATTCCAAACTGCCCTTGTCCTAGTTTCCTCCCCAAACTGTAAAACTCCTTTAACTTTCCAGTTTTTGTTTGTAACACTGAACCGGCAAGTCCTGCACTAGGGACCCTCTTCATCTGCGGTAGCTTCTTGGGTTTGGCAGATTGTTTTGGCTCAGTTTCTGGTTTTGGTATTGTCACTTGCTCTGGTGGTTTGTCTAGTACTGGCATAGGTGACTCAGGTTCCTTAGGTGATGATGTCTCAGTGACAGCTTCTCCGTTTGTGTGAACTGAGTCATCGGGCGACCGGTTTGGCCACATTACAGCTGAAACTGATTGGAAGAAAGCGTTCTTGGAAATGCTTGGTCCAACACAAGTATTTCCCATTTTGACCAAAACTCGATTCCTTCCTTCCTTAACACTTGCTTAACATCAAAATTCAACCTCCTCTATTGAACGTCTCTTAGCACAACAAATAAGATCTAATTTCGAAATCCGACAACTTTAGCTGATCAAGTCAAACTCCTCTCTCTCTCTAGACTCTAGTTTATACTAAAGAGATGAAAGATCAAAAGCTTGGATTTGTAACCCCAAAAGTAAAGTATCAAAATTTCTACCAAGTCAACATTCAGAAATCATCCATACCAACTTTCTGAGATTGCATCAGACTATGGCACATGAACTCTTGTGTTTGATGGAGCAAACCCAGAAATCATAAACTCAAAGTCCGATTGCAGAAAACACAAACGATAGACAGAGAAATGGTGAAAACCTTGCTTGATCAGCCACTAAATCGGCAGTTACTACAAAAAAGAACACAAGTTTGAGATGAATAAACCAAGGAATATAAGGCCAAAAGGGGAAAGAAGTAGTCAGATGAGATGAATAAACAAATCAATTAAAAGCTCTGAACTTTGAACAATTCAAGCATGATGCTGCAAAACCCAACTGAGAAAAGGAAACAGGAACTGAGTAGAAGAGGTACAAATGAAAGATGGGCAGGTAGTAACTAGTAAGTTTCGGGTGAGAGAGTGAGAGAAAATGGATCGACCTTTTCCCTTTGGTTTTTACCAAGCTGCCTGCGGCTGCCCGCCTGCCCGCCCGCCCGCCTGCCTAGTAGAAATGGAATGTTAAATATAATAATATTTCCTCTGTCTGTGTCTGCTGCGACTGGAGATCAGAAATATTATTATATTCGGACAGGCTTGTGTGTGAACGTGAATGGGGGAGTCTGAGGGCCCAGAAGTAAACGCGTTCGGTCCAGTACTAATTAATCCCCGGGTTTCTTGGTTCCTCCTGTTCAACCATGTTCAAATATTCATCATTTTTTATATATTTTATACAATTTTTATTTTTATTTTTTGGTAAATTATGAGAGAGTGTTTTATTTATTTGTTCGAATCTTGATCTGATTTTGGTCAAATATTTTCATCTCATTTTTATTTGATTTTGGTTATACATCTAAGGCACCTACAACAAAATATCCTTCTACGAATATTGTCGTCGAATTTTAAAATTAAAACAAATATGATCAAGATTAACAAGATCATCAGATGTGATATTTGTTGAGAGAAGTATCGGATCAGATGTATTGTATTTTGGAAGTGTTTGAGGCAGCCAAAAATTAAAATAGGTCAAAAAGAAAGAAAATCTTTAGCTTTGAATGTTTTTTTTTTTTGGGAATTAATTTTTGATATTTGTATATTAAGAAAAATGATTTCTACACATCATTTTTTTGAGTTTTCTCCACCTCAACTTGTCTGTTTATCTATATGTCTGAATTGTTTTCGATTTATTTAATTCAAATGTTAGGAAAAAAAAAGAAAAAAGAAAGAAGGGAGGGCATGAGAAATAAATTTAGTGAGATAACACTTCCATGAAGAAGTTAAATATAATGCTTTGTTTGGTTTTGAACATAAGAGGCATCCCACTATACATTGACAAAATAATCTCCTTTTATTCAGCTCCAGTACCATATGAAGTGATAGCATATTTTTGACACTCATATTAAATTGTACACAAAAACATAGCGATGACTGCAAACATACGTTTGTGGGAGTTCTCACTCGAGTTGGGAATCAAATCCCATCCCAATCCACTTTGTGGGGATCCTAGGGATTCTCACATCTTAATCATTCATCGTGTATCGTACGGTAAAAAATCATTTAATTTTTTTATTTAAAATTAAACACAAATAGCATCTGACGAAAATTAACCGTACGATATACGATGAACGGTTATGATGTAAAGATCCCTAAAATCCCTACAAAATAGATCCAAGAGGTTCCCTTGCCCTCGGATTAGGGGCTCCAACTCTGTACACACATTCCACCAGCCCAATGACCATTCCTTTTTGGAGGGATATGTAAGCGATTTTGGTCTAATTGACATATACTACCTAGAAAGACCTATTTGCCCCTATTTTCGAAGGAAATAAGAAAATGACACAAAGACAACCAATATTGGAGATGTTAGACTATCTCCCACCATACGCCGAAGGGTTGTGTTTGGCCCGAGAAAACCAACCCAATTCCGGGTTGACTGGCTTAAAGCATTTTCAATGGAAAGGGTTAAAAGTGCATAAGTCAAAACATGGTTAGAATTGTCATTTCCAATGGATAGTTAAGCTATAATTTAATGGAGCACTCCTTAAGGGAAGTGCAACTTTTACCTGATGCTTTCAGACGACCCATAAGCTTCTCTCTCCATGCTTCGCCGCGATAGATTCTGGTACTCTTCACTTCCTCCTTCCTCTCTTTGCGTTAAATTTGAATTTTTTATTTATTAATTTGTTTGAATAATGAATCAGTTGGTGACTCTGCTCAACTACAATACTGACATTGTTCGCGATGTGAGGATGCCATTCGCCACCTAGGCTTCAGCTTTAAAGATGTACTTTTTCTTTTCTTTTGGGTCAAATGTTCTATCTTTGCTTGGCTTCTCCTTATTTGAATTCTAACAATTTCTTACGCGTTTGTATCAAAGTTATGCCCTTGTAACCAAATTATTTGTAAATGAAAGTATGATCGATTTTTAGAAGTTTCTATTTCAGGACCATCTTTGTAAATTTCTTACTCCGCCATTAGACGGAAATTTATATATGCTAATTTTGGATTGTATTTTTTCAGTAACACTAACCATCCTGCAAACAGATTTCCAATGTGTCGTATATCATGTAACATTATACATGTGTTCAAAGCTTTTCAGATTTGATTAATTGATAAGCTAAGCTAAATGGTGAAATTACAAAGAGAAAAAGAACAGAATCATCCTCATCTCCTTTTTCCTTTCTTTCATATAATTATATTGAACAAGCATGAACCATGTTCAACAACTAAAAGAAATTAGATGGATGATCCGTCTTTCCTTCAAATGGAATAAAGAGAGAGAGAGAGAGAATCAGACCGATTCCCTAAATTAATGCGTTTCTGGCTATTCACGGAATGTGAGAAGGAACACACTTCGAATAAGCCCCGGCCACGACCGCCACCGCACGCAGCTCCGGCCATCACATATGACACGATCATATACATGTTATTGATGATCGTTAGGAGCAATGACATTAGTATTATTGTTTTTGGTTTTGGGAGCAAAACTGGAGGGTTGTCTTTGGACAATGAGCTTACGCATGGCATCCATGAGTTTTGTGCTCCTAGGTGTGTGCGGCCCAACAACTTCTTTATCATCACCAGTAAGTACATCTATATTGGTTTCCCGGTGGCTCTGGTCATGGTGATGGCGGTGGCAGTGGTGGTGATGGTGGTCCTCCTCCATTAACTTGGGTCCCCGAGACAACTCTTCGTCCTGCTGGAGCTTGCACTTGTGAAGCTTCACGTACTTCTTCATCATCATCTTCAAAAGTTTAAATTCGATGGATCGAAAGGAGACTTATTTGTTTTTTCACTTGAAGGACTAATGCATGCATGGAGGGCTTATTTATATGTTAGCTGGACGTGTTGGAGAGGACTAATATCCTCTCCAAATCTCATTGTCCAAAGCTCAAGAACCAAGCAATCCGACCATTCAAATTGAATTTGTTCGTCCTTGTTAACTTATACGGTTGGCCTCATCTCACACAAACAAAAGGCTTTGATCTTTTTTTTTGTCCACTCAAACCAATGGCTTAGATTTTCTGATCCTTAGGCTTTGACAGTAAGATCCGGAGAGGATCCAAATTCCGTTAGAGATAACAAAATATTGCCAAAAAAAGTATAATTTAGCTGTTTAATTGTTTACCATTTCAATAAATTAAGGAAAGGCTTACATTAGTTTGCCGTCGTGGTAATCTTATCCTTTTTTCAATAGTTTAATTTTGTACTTTGTAGAACAAGTTTTTTAGGTTCTGTTTGGTCACCCAATTAGATGGAAAGTTATTAATTAGTTGGAGAGTTTTCGGCTTGACGTGTTGGTTACGTCTACTGTGAGAGGAACAATTTTAAGGATAATACTTGTGTTTACCTCCTCGCTCGGTAACCTACTTATTCATCCACTTGTGTTCATTTTGTAGGGAACTTACTTAATTAATCGCAAAAGTGACACGTATAATTAGAAGTACTTTTCATTTGCTTTATCGTTATCATTTAGTCATCCACGTTTGTCGAACAAATCGACTGATTTGGAAACAATTAGCATCCTTATGAGCAACTATTCATTTATTTAATGTATATAGATGACTAAACAATCTCGAAATTGAATGATTTTTAGCAAAAATGATCTTTAAAAGCTAAAAAGAATAAACGATTTTGATTATGATTTATACGATAAAAATACACGTTCATGAGTAAGTACAAATGAGTTGACAAGTAAGCTCCTCCATGGGATGGATACAAGTCTTTTCCAAACTTTAATTCATGTGCATACAAAATTGTATTTGAGGATTTTTATCCTCCAGTCCACCAGTCCGCCTAATATACAAGCTAGCTGGGCCGTACATGGTGATTCCAATTGAGGGCTTTGATGTGATTACCGTGGCGATATTCAAAGTCAATCGCAGTCTTGGTACGTCAGAAAAATAAAAATAAAAATGCAAAGTAGACGTATGTCAATCAATTTCAAACCAGGGTTGAACAACTTCGTGTCTGACTTGAGAAGCAAGACTCCTCTGCTCCTAGCTGCTCTAGGGCACCCAGCTGAGCTGGCAAAGCTTCAATCAAAATTTCATTCGCTTCCTTCCATTCCAATATGACAAGCTGTTACGCCGGGTTCTACTGATCAATTAAGTCTTGAATCTTTCTGTTGATTTACGTGCATATACGGCCGCAATGGGGGATCTACGGATACTCAGGTGGCGGATGAAGTATTGTGCTATGGAGGCATTAGCCTTGTGCATATGGAGGCATTCCTCAAAGTTGATGTGGTTGCGGAGTCGGATGATAGTGGTGGTTGTGGTGGTGGGCATCAGCCACATTTGTACCAGCAACTAGAACTTCCAATGAGAAATTGGAGAAGGTAAGAGTGCAAACCTGGTCATCACCAGGGGCTTGCTGTTGTATAGCGGACGTTGGGGTTGATTCGGAAGCCACTCATATGCTGCATTTACATCTTGACCGCGACAGTTGCATTTTCCAATGGTTGGAGAAGAGCAGACTCTGCCTGTTGTGCCGCTTGTCCATGCCTACCAGTTGTAAGTGATGTGATAGATCTAATGCAATGCGATCATGTACCAATTGATCTGATTGATGATCTCACTCTGCTACATATATGATAATAACGCTCAAAAGCACGATTCATTGATCGTATGTAGAAGAAAAAATGGCCAAAAACATAGATTGAACATATGATCAGTTCAAATTAAACATTGTCTGCATACAAAAACAGCCGCTCAATGCTTATGGTTCTTCCTTAACAAAGAAACTTGGGGCAAGCAAAAATCTTCCTCATGATTCAGGATTTCCATCTCGTCATCGTCTGGCTTCTGAAAGACAAGGAGTAAAAACGGAATAAAATGTACACCTCAATAGGTCTGAGGACACATACTTAAAATCCCATGGGAGCATTTCAATATTTCATACGGCATATTTGAGTAACGTTAAATTTATCAAATAAAAAAAAAACGAAGCTTTATACTATTAACCAAGAGTTCTATGTTGTATGCACAGATACTCTGAACTTGCCTTTCTGATTACTCTAAACAAACAAATATCGATCAATATGAAGATTCGATCATTTAAAAGGGAGAGCATAGGACAGTCCATGATAAGCAATAACAAAAATTGAAATATGCAAATATGGACAAATTAATTAAATTAGTTATATACCAGCATTTCCAAGTTGTAGAACCGATCGAGCAATTGAAGAACCTCATCCGAAGAGAAGTACCGGTCAAACCTGTGAAGATCATACAGAAAAAGAGTGAGGCTATCAATCAGAAAATGGAGGCTCACTGGAATAAGTGTTAGAAAACCTGGGAGCAGTAATGTGAGGTGGAAAGGAACCTTCTCTGCAGAAAATCCATTAAACCATAAAGGACAAAGTGACGATGTATGCCTGCACAAACAAGTTACCGATTTCTTATCTATTAACGAACAACACTGATGATATAAGGAAAAAAATTTGAATGCGAGAACCAAAATGAACAATTATCAGTCTAATTATTTTACAATTTACTCAATGTGCATGAACTCCTAGACATAGCTTTTCTTCCCATGTGAAGGTTCATTGCAAGAGCGATAATATTCACTTATATCATCCAGAACAATAATGTACAAAAATTGGCAGGTAAAAATTTCAATCACATATGTATAATTCTCAGTATGAAGATTCAAGCATGTGATTTGACACAGATGCTGCTTGACCGCCTTTTCCAACAACCAAACTGATACATTTTCCATTCAAGTTTCACCCAACTACTCATATAGAGTAATTAAAAACAAAATACAAAGATGTGAAATTAGATTCGTAAAACTTACCTTGTAATTTCGTCAGGGGATAAAATTCAAGAGCTTCTAGCAGTCTAAGCTCCAACTCAATCTCTGATTGGTCCTATTAACCAGAAAATCGCGACAAAAAGAGTCAATAAAATTAACATGAAAAACATATATGTATGTACATGTCTATATAAAGATGAAGACCTTGGGGAGAGAAGAAGCAGAGGAAGGGGGAGCGTTGCACGGAGAGTGTACAGACATGCCATCTGGTTCCTCTTCCCTTCCCTTGCCACCACTTTCCATTTGTTTCAACTATAAATACTTTATCTAGAAGAAAATAAAGAAAAGACCTTCCCCTTGTTTACGGTAAAATGTTTCAAAACCTTTTCAGGTTAAACTGAAAACTGAAAATGAAGGCATTTTTCTCTTTTCATTTTCTTTTCTTCACTAGGGTTTTCAAATTTGATCCAGAGAGATCTCTGGAATGAGTGGCTATGCTGTTAGCCCCTGGAGCAAGCCCAAGTTCGGCCTGTTCTTGGCTGGAACTATAAGTGATGAGTTGAGATGGGACTTGAGACAACTCGAGCTGAAATGTTATGTCACCATGAGGTCAAACTCGGACCAATATAAAATAAGCATCTTGAGAGGATGAAGGCACACAAACATATCCAACAAACTCACATAAACATTTCTGTATAGAAATATTGTTTAGTCAAACACTCTTGAGGTATAAAGTTTAAGCCTTGTAAGCTTTTAGTATCTTGTGGGACTAAGATTTGATAGATAGTTGAGTACTAAATAATGGAGTGCAGAATAGCTTTTTGGATAGCTTTTAAGGAGTGGCAATAACAAGAGAGGGTAGATTTCAAAAATTACATTGAAAAAATAAGGAAAAAGTGCACAGTGAAATTTTAGAGTGCCGTAAGCAAAATGTACTGTATACAAAACCATATAACCTCACACAGTGGAGCAGTGAATCCTAGAAATGCAGGGTCAGACTCAGATGTGAACCCCTGAGGGAATATTTGTAAAATTTATCAATAACTTCCAGTAAATTTCATATTAAAGTTTTCATTTTGGAGAAATGATTTCCGCACACCTTTTTTCACCTCCTGCACACCCTTTTTTCAAGCCATTGGATTGAACAAATCAAAGGAGAATCAATGGCCACAATTTAGAGGGTTGTGCAGAAAGTGAAAATTTGATGTGCAGAAATCACTTTCCTTCTTTTAGGGCCTGAAAATTATGTGTCAGTTTGGCCGCTTTTTCTTGAAAACGCTTTTGTAAGAAGCACAACCAGATATTCAAGTGTTTTACCAAACACTGTCAGAATAAGCGCGTTTAGTCATTTTAAAAGTTCGAAACAGGCCCTATTAGTACTTGAGACTTATCCCATCTTTTTTATTCTCTCGGCTGTGGAACAGCCATCACTGATCATTCAATTTACCTACTGTAAAATGTAAATGATGCCCAAATGAAACGCAAAGCTAACACATTTAACATAACACTATCATCAGTAAAAGGAAAAACAAAAGAATCTCCAAATCAGAAACGACCAACAATCCACAACCTCATCAAAATCAATCAATACTATGATTTCACATTACAGAGAACAAGAAATCAAAAACCCCAAATACACATATAGCATAACTTAATGCCATAAAAAAAAATGGAAGAAAACGGCAGATGGGGACGAAAAAAATGAAAGCACTGACCTCCAAGACAGCTTCTTTGTTGCAGACACAAGTAACCCAGCGACGAAATGGAGAGAGAGAGAGAGAGAGAGAGAGAGAGAGAGGCCTTTTTCTTCTTATCGTTGCAATGTGCGTGTAAAAAATTCCTACCGTAACGTGTCATTTTTACAGTTTATTATCTATCTAGTTGGTGCTATTTGAATTTGGGTAGGGCCCGTGGGTTCGGGTCTCAGCGGTCTAACCGGTCGGGTATGAAGGATAAAAATCGGTATGGTGACAGGTTTGACGAAATTTTCAAGTTTGGTGCTCAGGCAGGCGGAAATGGTGTTGTAATTCCCAACTAACTTACAGCGAAGGACTACAAACTACTCTATGTAATTGTGTTTACCCTAAAGATTACAAGACCTACGTGGAGTGCAAACCGTAAATCTAGGACCTATGTCACCTAACTACGTCTTTGGGAAAGACTAAACGCGCTCGGTCTTGATCACAACCGTTATGGTTCTGCGAATGGGGATAAGACTAAACGGGCAGAGATACTCGAAGGTCACGGTGGTCGTGATAACAATCCGGAGTTCGAGCGTGCTCCTGCCGAACTTGAGTTGTTACGAGATGTAATCCACACTTGAAAAAGCCAAGAACACCAACTTGCCTTCGGAAGAAAGCGACCGACACTTTTAGCGAAGCACCTTGGTCGGAATTTATACTTAGCGAAGCATCCATGGTTGAATGGTTAAAGATCTTTAAATTTAAGCATTTTCTTTATATACATCATATAACCTCATACAACTTTCAATTAGACCTCCATTTTCCTTTAATTCGACTATATTTAATTTATTACTCGTCCAACATACATTCAACATACTGGAGAAGGTACCACTGCAAAACCTCCAAACACAGCAGGCTTGAGAGCGTAACTGGAACTTCAGTTGACAAACAAATGGATCTATCAATATACTACTACTCAACGTAACTCAGGCTTCGGCCGAGAAAGAAAACATTTACAGTAATTTAAACTATGAACCACCCCAAAAACTACTAAAGTAGTAACACAGCATCTCATCCAAGTATACTGACCAGAGGGAGGACTGATGCTTGCAATAGAACGCTTTCGTAATTTCTTAGCCCTGAAAGACTCTCTTCACAAATCCTTGGAAAGAAGTCCCCATCCCAGCACCGACAGCTTCTGCCAAGTATGTCGCCTCTTGAATGGTTTTCTTCAAGTCAAAGGCATCTTTCACCAGATTATCCAAGAATGCCCATGTATCACGAAAATCTGGGGAATTGTCGGCAAGCATGTAAATCTCAGTTGTGGAGTATATTCCTCCAAGGACAGTCCGCTTCACATACCACTGAAAATCAGCGGTGTCATCACCAGCACCATGCCAAATCTCATCCACAAGCATCGCCCTCTGCTTAAAACTTGTGGGAACATTCACTGGTTGTGCCTGGATGCTAAGAGCTTGAGGCCATTTCGATATGTAGGGTGCCTGCATTTCTAAGCGAATACGGATAAGCTTGGCGATACGGTCACTGAGTATCAAACTTTTCAGCTCATCTGTACTGGACTCGATTCTATCAATAAGCATCTGCAAACAGTCATCCATGAAAAACTCCACCAGAGTGCCCTCTTTCCTTGGAAATGATCCAACAATAGATGGAGACACACCAACATCCCTTGCACCAGCAATCATCGCGGCTTCGCTCCATCCCAATCTTATCACATGGGGAAGCGAGGCCTGGAGCACGCGAGCTTGCTCATCTTGGTATTCTACTCTCGACTTCCTTGTGTGACCAGCTGTTGATGACGTGGAATTCGAAACATTAGGGAATTCATTGGCCGTTGATGATGTGGAATTTGCAAAACTAGGGGGTTTTTCAACAAATGGTTCAGAGCTCACAGTGGTGGAAAAGTGAGAACGACCAACAAGCGATTGAAGAGGACGGAATTGAATCATATGGGTATTGCTACTGCTAACCAAGGGTGCGCCAAAGAGCCGGAGAAGCCGATTTGCTGTGGATCGATACATTTTGATTCTGTATTGCCAATATCTTCCTAGAGACAAAAAGAGTTTAGTCAAGACATACGTTAATATAAGTCGCTGGTTTTGCAACATAATTCCTAACACAGCTCCAAAGTTGGAGTTAATTTCTTCAATATTTCACTTTACCAAGAATTGTTAATTTCTTCAGTATTTCACTTTGAATTTCTTCAATACTTCATTTTACCAAGAATTGTTAATTTCTTCAATATTTCACTTAAGATCAAAGGATATCCAGAGCAGTTCAATGTTAATTATTTTCCCCAAACAAAAATTGAGATTGGAGACCTTACATTGCATTGTGTCATTGTTAACCAAATGAATCCTAACAACAATTTGGATAATTTATATTATTTTTTTCATAACAAAATCTTGATACAGATCATTAAGAGCCCTAAATTAGAAACCCTAATCATGATATAATTTGGGAATTCAAAAACCCTAAACAAAACCCCTAAATTCCAGACACCAATTTAATCTAAAAAAGTAAAAATTACCATTAAAAAAAAAGAGAAAGAAGGATAAAGCTATTGAGAATAAAAACCTGGATTTGGAAGAGAGAGCTTCGTTGTTGCAGAAGATGTGGAAACCCAACGGCGAAAGGCAGAGAGAGAGAGAGAGAGAGAGAGAGAGAGAGTGAGGAGAGTTTGCCTGCCTTTTCTTTGGCTGTGGCTCGCACAGAAAAAAGCGTTTTTCTGTTGTTGCGTTCAAGCCTACGTGTATGAAAATTAACCTTTATTTTTATACTATTCAATAGTCCCAATTTTTTTTTAAACCTTTAGTTAGAAAAATATTAAAAAAACTAATAAAAATATTTTAAAATTTTTAATTTAACCAAAATGATAAAAATTTATTGTAACTAAATAGTACCAAGAGTAATTTTTTAAAGTAAAAATATTATTAACGTTAAAAATAAACATTTTCAAAAATATTTTATTAAGCTTCGTAGAAATATATTTTCGTAGGCCATTTATAACGCCTCAAATCAGAAGGAGGTAAAACGTAGTTGACCCAAAATATTTGTGCGCAACCGTCCACAGGAGACGAAAGAAAGAAACCGAAACAAGGAAAGAAAGCATCTTCTTCTTCAACTGTGCGTGTGGCTGTTTGGTACGCATGGAGAGAGGGGTGCAGAGATGGGTCGTGGACATATCAGAGTGGGACCCATCTCCCCATGATTTCTCCTCTGCTCTCTCTCTCCTCCCTCCACTTGAGCAATCATCTGTCACCAGGTTTTCCCTCTCTCTCTCTCTCCTATGCTTTCTTTTTGGTCTCGTGTTGTATTCTGTTCTGGTTTTCACCTTTCATAAGGAACATAGAATGGATGAACAGAGGAGGTTTGAACTGTTGTTTTTTGAAATTGAGCATTGAAGCTCTTTGTTATGGTTTAAATTTATCAACAATCGTTTAACACCGTTAACGAAGGTACATTGTATTTTGACATTGGTAGATTTGTACAGATGGAAGACCGGAAGCGGGCGCTTGTGAGCCGCTTGCTTCAGTATGCTCTTGCACATCAAGTGTTGGCAATTCCGTTTCATGAAATTATCATCAACCGCACCTTGGAAGGCAAACCGTATCTGGTATGACTACACTCATCAGTTCTTGTTTTGTCTGACTGAATCCGAATATGTGTTACCATCACGGATTAGCATTAGTATCTTTGTTCATTGTACTATGAATATGCATAATGTCCTTTTGTTTTCAGGAATGTGGCCACGCTTGCGTGGATTTTCCCAATTTTAACTTCAATGCATCGCATCATGGCGACTACGTTGCTATAGCATCCGAACCTTTGTGCCTGGTGGGGGTGGACATTGTTTCGGTAGTCATTCCACAGAAAGAGACGCCTATAGAGTTTGTTAAAAACTTCTCCTCTTGCTTTTCAAGTTTTGAATGGGATAATATACTCAGCGCTGGAACCTCGGATGATATTCTGACTGAGTTTTACAGGTACCCCTAATCTTCATCTATTCGTTGAGCCATTAGATCTGTTACAGTTTGTTATTTCTTCATTTTTAATCAAATGCCTACTTTATCCGTTGAAAAATTGATCATATCTCGGTATGCTTATAAGTTATACACTTGTATTCTTACTGCAAAGCTGTGTTATCCGATAGAGAATTACTGGAACACTATATTTCTTATCTTATTTCAACATTAATTACGATTAATACTATTTATCTCCCCTGAATGCGAAATTATGGATTTAACTTGAGCATCTTGCTCAGCACATTTTACCGCTAATTTAGATATGGCTAGCAGACCTTGCCTGAAAACTTTGCCTTTATTTTCACTATGTTTTCTGCCGGGATAAGCTCATGCGTCAATTTCAGTAGAAACCTTTCAATACAAGTTTTTAATTCTAGTTGAATGTCTAGGTGAGTCATTCTGGTTTGGAATAGAAATTTTTATATATTGGAGCATAAATGGAAAACTTTTCTGTCTTACAAGAATTTAGTTCTTAAACAAACAGCATCCTGGAGAGGTTAAAAAATTTGAGCAGCTGATGATTTGCAAGGTCCTTTTTCTTGTGCGTAGATATTGGTGTTTGAAAGAAGCTTATGTCAAAGCAATTGGGAGCGGAGTGGCATATGGTTTGGACAAAGTGGAATTTCATCACAGTTGCTGGACAAATATTTCTGTACACGTTGAGGGGAAGCTTATGAGAGAATGGCGATTTTGGCTTCTCGAGCTAGGGAAGGGACATTTGGTAATTCTCTGTTTTTCTTTTCAACGAGCTCTGGCTTTTTGGTACATATCGCTGCGTTATTTTGATTGTCATGGTTACATAGTTATTTTGTTGGTTTTCTATGACTAACATCCATATCGATTGCCATATTTCATGACGTTATGTGTTGAATGATAACGTGCATATGGAGGGACATGTGCGGTAACAAAAGTATCAAGACAATGAGGGAACTTAGAGACTCGAAAACATTAAGATTAAAGGTAGATCTGCTTGAAACTACTGTCATTCAGCTTAGGTTAAGAGAAAGACTAACTTAGGATTAGTCACACTTAGGGTCTTTCGTGTTTCTAAAGAGCTGATATAAGATCTGGTTCGCCTGCAGATTCTTTTTCTCCCTAGCCCTAAACTAGTCCAACATCTTTGAGGCATTAAGGCTGCATTTGCGTTTATACGGCATGAGGCAATTAATCGTGTTTTCACCTTATGTAACAGTTGTCCGTAAAATCGCAGGTCTCCATTGCTAGGGGTCATCCAAGATCAGCTACGGAGAGTTACATGAGAACATTAAAACAGGTAGAGTTCGGCGAGGAGGAATATCAAACAGCTCTTCATCTTCCAAATGCCGGATTTGTCTCGAGAACGGTAGAGCAACTCGTTACAGTTTTACAGAAAGCTAGGGACCATTGAACCACCTATGAAGAGGAGGATAAAGCATTCTCCTCACTATTTACAGATGAGAGCAAAATCACTGCTTTATCGGTAATTCTGTTCCTTGAGTCGCAAGGCTTCTGTTCGAAGTAAATATGTAGGAGTCGGTATTACAACGAGAGAACGCTTAAATCTCTTAGGCTACTACGTCTCACCTGGAAATTAACATTAGAAGATCTTTCTATCGATCGGTTGGTATTGGATTTTGAATTTCATTGCTTGGGAAGTGGGAAAGTAGTTACTAGATAATTGCTAAAGTCTCACATCGAGAAGATGAGATATTAAATATGTTTAAAAAGATTTACACAATGCTATGATATTGCTTAGCCTAATAGCGTGAGCTTGTAACTAATCAGGGCATTAAAGTGATTGGTTGCCTACACAAAGCCTAACCAGGTGAGGTGGTTATGGTGGCCTTGGTATGTTCACCTTGGGTGAAACCACACAAAGTGCACCCTTAAACCCTTGGGTTACCAATTACCATGGTTGGAGGTAGCTAATAAAGTCGATTTTCAGATTGGGGTTGGGTTCTAAACCAAGCCCCGCAGACCAAGATATGCTTGCCCTCGGTGTGCTGCCTGGTGTGGCATCTCACTACACATTCACTTTTTGCTATCTACATCAACGAAAAATAGCAAATTGGCCAAGCAGCAATGTATGTCTGCTGCCATTTTTCTTCCAAATACTAGAAATTGGGGAAAGCGAAAAGCTTTTTGCTCAAACTATTACCCTACACAAAAATATTCACCTGGAAAATATTAAGGATACAAACGAAAGCCTAATATTATGCTCTTCGGCTTAACTCCCCAAACATGGAAGCACTTGTGCTGGAGGCTCCAAACTTTACAACAGGAAAAACAAAATTAAATGGATAGTCTACTGATTTTATAGGCGACTACTAAAAGCAGCGTCCTTGAGTGCAACGTGAAACAATCTTGGTGTCACAGAGCTACCGAAAACAACACCACAACATGATCGTTCTCCTAGACAACGATCTGAGATATGGGCTACGCAATCTTGTTTTCAAGCAAATCGGCAACAGCTTCAATCCAAAATTCTTCCGCGCATAATACCATTGAAGCAAGGTTCAGGCACTAGGACAATTGCGGTAACAAAATTACACTGCAGGCTTTGTTCATCGTTATTTTCTGTTGTCATTCAGCAGCTGGACATTCCTACAGTTTCAATTAGAGAACTCAAAATGATAATTAAACAGATGATAAATATTGAAGAGCATAGCAATGAAACAAAACTGCTCCTATGTGCCATTCAATATGCAGCTTCTTTGTTTCTAATTCATTCATTGCTGGTTTTGCAACCAAAATTAAGATTCAGCAAGACATCTAAAAAGCATGGACTTCCTGAAGTCCAAAATTGAGATTCAGCAAGGTAATACTTTGACGTGCATTCTCGGAACTTTGTCAGCAAAAGATCAAAACGCAAATCACACCTCCTTTGTTGATGTACTACCGAGATTGAACACATGCCACCACAAACTTCCAGTTGCGAGCAACTGCATACATAAAAATACACACACAACATTTACAAGAGATCTTCATGACAAATACAAGTTTAACCTTCCAACTGGATATTTTTCTGCCTTGTTAAATATTAATTGGTCAGTGTCTTAACATTCTAGAGTGTGTTACGCATAATCCTTAAAACTACTTAAAACGTAAATCCTACACGGTTACACCCTAAACTCTGTCTGAATATCAGAGCTCTCGTACATCAATCATGACACTGTTCACCTTTAGCCACACAACACAAAGCAACTGGGGCTGGAAACTAGAGTGTGTTACACCAGTTATTTAGTTTTTGTGGGGCTTGTTCTATGCTCAAACAATATTGAATTTACTGCTCAACCCATTCACATAATTTTTTAACACCCACACAAACCATATGATAAAGGTTACGTTTCTAGTTTAAGGATACTAATTCTAGTACCGCGTATATGAAGTAAACATTGGGTATGATTAGAGAATTAAATTCAACGGTTGAATCAGCAGAACACCACTCTTATACAAGGTACACTATCAATTGATCTGGTAAAACTATATATAGTAACCCACTGATTCCTCAGCAAAAGAGAGTCCTGTGTACTGCTCAATCATACACAAACTGTTTTTTTTCCTTTCTAAACCTTGTTAATAATATCCTAATCGGTCTTAATATCCATCTATACTTTATTAGATTTAGAATTTATTCATGGAATGACAGCCAAAAGTTACACTGTATCAAAATTGGATGATCATTGTAACATTAGGATTTAAGAAAGAAGAAATTTTACCAAAAGTTACACAGTATCAAAACACTTTTTTTAGTGTCAACTGATAACGAACTTATATAACATCCGTAATGTACTAATATGGCCCAACAATCCAGCCTGTCCATTTCAGGATCCCGTCTATGATCACCTTTGCCAAAAAACAGCAATATTTAAACCATTCTTTTTTTTTTTAAACAATATTCAAACCAGTTAGTCATCTAATTACTGTTCAACCTATATACGAAGTTACGAACACAGTTTATCTAATGATAATTGAAATGGCTAATACTCTTTCATCATTGTTCTAAATCCAACAGATCCACATTTATAATTTCCTGATTGTATCACATTCATCCAAATTAATAATTAATACATTGACAAGAAAACATACCTTAGACATGTGACCCCATTCCTTTCCTCATTCCACCAAAGAAAAGAGAAGGGCAACGGGGAAGGATAGGGAGACACTACATTGGCCTCCACTTTTTGTACACCACTCCGGCGGAAATGTCAAACTGAATCAACTCAAAATTGTAACATACTAGTGTAAATGTGTTGAAATTGGATTCACAGGGATGAAAAAGAATCTGAAGGGGAAGTGTAGGGCTGGTTAAGTGTAATCCAGCCTCTGTAAACATGCATAAGTAAATACCGGTTCAAATTAAAGGGAGGAATGACAAAAATATTTAAGAAAGGAAAGAAAGATCATAGAAACCATGAAAACAAAAAGCCACAATGTTTCGTGAGAATGTAATACACGCAAGAACAGTGGTTTCTCGCTGCTTCTGGATTTCAAACGGATTCAAACCCATTAGTATTTGAAATAAATTAACAATCCATTAGGGAGGTAAAGAGAAACATTCCTCCAGAAATGACCAATCAATACCATCAACGACTACTAATTAACAGAGCCAGAGGCTCCATCCCCTAAAAATATATGCAAAATAGGACAAGATTTAGGGCAAGGATAACTAATGATAAAACAGAGCCAGATGCTAGGGCAATGACAATCATCTTACAGTAAAAAATAACAAGCTGGGACAGTGGACAAGCTATATTCAGGACATGCATCTCTCAGAATCCAACCTGCAACAACGTACAAGAAGAGAAATTCAAGTAAAGCAACCACCACAATCCAATGAAATACATGAAAAGATACGACCAACTTGAAGCAGATGTTTGCAGATCCATCAAGTTTCTCAACAGAAAGAAATAGTCACGAAATTATATCATTGGGACCGCATTACCTACAAATGAAGAGGTCCCGAGACTGTAATAGCTCCTGAAACAGAAACATACCTACATATGCAGAGGTCGGGCTGTAAAAGCTCCTGAAACAGAAAACAAACCAGAAAACCTCTTCGTTTTCTAGTAGCAAAACAAATCCGAGCAACTGTAAATCCCAAAAGCCTAAGCTGTTAGGAGATCAGCCCCTCAACAACATGACAACAGAACACAATACTCCCTATCATGTGTAGGCACAGTCCCACTCTAGTTAACAAAATAGGGCCTATCCAAGAACAAGGTTACAAGGGTCACCAGAGTACAAACACCAACCAGATGATAAATAGGGGGTTACCTACGATTGGTAATGGCATACCCAGAAGAGGGTAGGGGGGACAAGGTTATGCGCTGGGTGGTACAGCACACTACATTATCATGCCAAATAACAGTTGATTACAAAATCCAAATTATGTTAGAACTCAGAATATCACGTTAAGTCATAGTTGATCCCAAAAGCTGATTTTGGTAGAACTCAGGATAAATCTCAAGTAATTGTAGCTGTCATAGGATATGAAAGAAAATAGCCTACCTTAATAAATCCTGTTTCCGTGCCTCAAATTCAATGATAAAGGGACATAAAAAGGTATTAAAAAAAAAAGAATGAACACATGTGTGGGCTTGTTATGGTAAAGCATCAAAACAATCCAGAAAGATTTATTTGGTTAAGAGTGAATTAAATTTTTTAATGAGCCTATTTCTTTGTTAGGTCAAAACAGGTCGTCTTAGGAAAGAGTAAAAAATTTACCTACTATAACAAATACTACTAAGATCTTCCAGGCATTCACTTCATTTATGTGGAGACCTGTATTGACCAAAAAAATAATCAGGAGTCCATAGTAAATTTTAAGGCATACCCTGGTGCCTGAACTGAGCAACGAGGCAAATGATCTCTTTCAGTCAGATAAGTCCTTAATGCCCGAAATAAGAATGTACCTGTTAACAAGATTCCACTTGATTTCCCAAGAAAAGCAATAATAGTGATGAATCCACTAACAATTCTTAGTGTAATCAAATGCAATTTAACTTTAAAAGAACAGTAAATCAATAATCCACCATCACTGTCAAATATAGCATACTCATTAGTGCACATATATAGAATAACAGCCAAAAACAGTATATTGGAAGGAAAGTCATTATCAGTTAGCACTGGCACCCAGATTCGAGTTAGCACTTAAATTTATTTGCCATGGAAAAGAAGTCAGCAATGCTAGAGAAAAGAAAAATAACAGAGGCAAATTATGCTCAAAAGAAAACTGTTATTTGTCATGACAAGAGAATTTATCTGCATTACATAAACAGTTGAGATTTGTTTTTGTTTTCCTATTTTAAACTTCTTCAGACGAGTATACAAAAAAATGGCCATAATTACATGTGCTTGTTTGCCAGAGCCATAACTTATATTGGCAGGTTTCCCTCTGACAATAGCACCATCAATCTTGTCTAAAAGGTCAAGTAATCCAAGGAAATATACAGTATACCGTCGTCCTCACAGAAGCATATTCAAATCTGAGAGGTCGTCCATAGGAATGTCAAGCCCTTCTGCATCATGGTCTTGCAAACCGTCATCATCAAAGTTAAACCAAGTACTCAGATCTTGGTTGCCACCAAGTTCATTGGCTACTCCTAGTTCTATCGAGTCTAATTCATTCAGATGCAAGTTTGCAAAATCCATTTGTTTCTTGGTCTCTGTAGGACCCTGAGGAATGTCATTATAACATGCAGGCTCAACCTCTCGTTTACTGTTATTATTGTTGCCAACAAGTTCAACAAATCCAGCTGAAGGGGCATTATTAATCAACCCATTTCCTGAAGTTGATAGCTGAACGGTCTTCTGTTTGGGCTTTGTTTTGGTTTTACGGTCACCCTTATTGTTACCCAATGATTGACGGCCAGCTTTGGTGACAGAATTCCTGGCTGATGTATCTTTGTCCCTTTCTCTCTCACTTCTTTTTCCCTTTGCTTGGGCCAACACAGTACCAAGATTTGATGCAGCTTTCAAGGAGGGGCTGCCAACATCATCAAGCAGAACTTCCTTCTTTTTTCCTCTGTACAATATTGGTCCAGTTTTAGTAACCTGCTCAGAGGGATGGGTAAGACTTCCAGAAATACCATAACCCCTGCCATACTTATTATGATGATCATCCGTCCAATTGGAAGAACCTGTAAAAAGAAAAGAGTGAAGGCATTTACAAAAAACAGGTCACCTGAGATTTAGTTTCCGCAAGAAAGATATCTATAAATAAAGGGTGCTGTTATTGGCACTCCAAAATAGTGCACTCCTCCCCATACAGATTTCCTTTGTACATTTATAAATTTGGAGGGCCTTTTTGGAGTGCTGACAACAGCTCCCATAAGTAAATCAGAGGCGTTTGGACAAAAGTCCAAATCATGGGAGAGAAATAAAATTGTGTATTGGATTTGTCTGATATATATGGCCTCTAACTATACAACTGCTTTCAATATCTTGCAAAACATGCAAACTGTGGCACATAAATTTCTAAACATATACAAACCCAAAAAATAAAAGAAAATAAATAAATTAAAAAAAAAAATATGCTAAAACAACAAATACTCCTCAAAAGCAAAGCGTTTAAATACTTAAAAGTACTAACCTGAAACCCCAGTTTCTTGTTGAGAGTTTTGATTTTCAAGTGGTGAACTTAAGCCATTGCATTTCATGGTTTCTTCGTTGCCACCGGGAAGCGATGCAGCGAAAATGACATCTCGAATTACAGGCTCATTAAAACAACTTTTTCCGGTTTCTTTATATTTTTGGCATCTAGCAAGAGTCCTCTTCATAAAAGCAATGGCAACTTGCTTTGAAACCTTAGCAATCCGATATTTTGAAGCAATACTTCCTCGAGTGGCCTAAGAAACAAGAAATGAGACCTTTTTATGGTCTAAAGTAATACTTCATAATTCACATGCTACAGCTATAATTCAGCAGAATGTGGGTACATGCTACAGTTAAAGAACATCATTATTTGTGCACTTTAATCAAGATGTAAGTAATTGATGCTTGGTACACACAAGTTTGAATCCCATCCCAATAAGCAAATTGAAAAAAAAGTACCAGAAGCTTTCTGTAAGCCAACTCAACAAGCTTGTCCATAGCAACCTGCTCCCGGCGCCTGCAATTTAGCCACATGATTAAAACTTCTACAGAATCAATGAATCAGTTCTTGTGTTGATTTTCGTACAATAAAATATATTATACTACAAATTTCTAGAAAACATCTAAAGTATTAAATATCACACCGTCTTTCGATGTCCATGCCTTCTTCAATTGCTGCAACAAATTTGTTTAACTGTATCTTCTTCCCATCAACCTACAAAGTCAGAAGAATCAGAATAAAATTTCTGTTAGTAAACCATGAGATAACATAGGAAAAATGAAGCCATAACTCGGAATGGACCAATTGCAAGACAAAAATGGGCAATCATATGAATGAGGAGAAAGTTTGGTTTAAAAATGTGAAAACGCGGTTGTGTTCATAAGAGGTGATATCTAAGAGCCATAACCTGTTGGTGAAGTAGCTTCTGTAGTCCAAGAATATCTGTATCAATTGCTTCATCCTCTCCATCTGCTAGATCAGGCTGAGACAAGGCAAACAGTAAGTAGCTAAATTATTGTAGGAAAGGGATTGAAAAAGGCAACAGAATTCGAAGTATTTCCCCAATCCTAATTCAGCACTGGATGACATGCAAATTTCCGGCAGAAAAAGGACTGACCCTGATAAACCCAGTAATGTGAAAAGACACTTTACGGTCATGGAGCTGAAAACGTATACATCATCACTTGCATAGGGTAAGCCCTTACCACTGTTTCTTGATACAGGCCAACACTATGTAGCTCCAACAAGAGTCTGTCCTCCAGAGGCATCTGCTCATACGGGCAATCAGAGGAAGAAATTCTTGGAGAGTTTGTACCCACATGTAGTAACCCATCTGCACCATTTTCGGAAAACACAGGGAACATCCCACTCTCTGAATGCAATACTCCAAAATCTACTTTTGAATAATCATTACTGTATAATTGATTACAGATTCCTGTGGCATTCATGAAGCCACTATCCCCATTGTAAGGGTAACTGTCAATGGAACATTGATTGAGAGTGTGCAAACCCAAATCTGTATTATTTGCAAACTGGATCCCGATCCTGTTCCTTGGCTCAACATTAATAGAGGCACATGTAGCACTAGGAGAATTGTCCCCATTATATTGTAAAGACATAGTTCTCCAGTGAATGTCTTTTTCAAATTCTTCTATGTCATCTTCCATGATTAGAGCCGATAATACTCTTTGGTACAGTGGAGGCACTTTCTTCTTTCCTTCTGAGTCTAATTGTCCACAAGATACATCTCCTTTTTGAATTTGGTCTTGCATGTTGCACTCATATGGTCCAGAAATAAGAGTCTTGGACACAAAGTTCTCTTCATGCACAATATCACCCTGGGAAACAACATAACTTCATAATTAACATCACAGTTTGTATCCTACTCAGCAGGATATTTGTCCTCCTCTGAAACAAGTAATAATAAAGTAGAAACTAAGCGAAGCTGGATAGAATAATTTAACATCATACACAGAATAACCCCGTTCATAATGTCTTCTTTTTCATTCTTGCCCTTTATTGGTGTGTGTCCTTCGCAAGAAAATCATCAATTTCAAAATTAAACCACTTGCACAACCACCCTTTTTGTAACATTAACTTAAAAGGACAGTGTTTGCAGAGTTTGCACAAGCATAGAAGGAAAATGCGTTGCTGAACATTTGAAAATCCTAATGAATGCCTAAAAACTGAAGCTTAAATAGATGTCTGAGGTGGCACACTTTAGGATGAGATACAAAATACAAGTCTCAGGCCTGGTTTGGTACTGAGGTGATTCTGAAAAAAGCTTGGTATCAAAAAAAGCTGGGAGCTGTTTTTGTGTTTGGTAAACATTCAGCTTCAGCTTTTTTTCACAGTTTTGGATGAAAAAAAAGCCAAAAACAAGAAGCTGCAAAACCTAGCTTTGAAAAACCGGCTTTTTTTCACTTCTATTTTATATAAAAGTTTACCAAACACTATAATACTGTTTTTTTTTTTTTTTTCAAAAGCACTTTTACAAAAAAGTTTACCAATCACATAAAATATGACACTGGATGGAAAATAACCAAGATTTAATATAAAGAAAGATGGCAGAGATAGAAATCAGATATCAAAAGCCTATGTCAATGAAAGTATATGCTAGACATTACCGAAACATTATTGGCATTGCCTAACATCAGAGACATGCATTCATCATTCTCCTCCACAGATATGAGCTGAATTGAGCAAACATAAAAATAGGGAAAGTATTAGTCAGGGACCAAAGCAACCTAATAAAAGAAATTTTCTTGAGAGAGATGTAGTGATAAATTCTAGCTTCTACCTGCTCCTTGAAGTAGGATACCACCTCTAAACTGACAGGACCGAAAATTGGTTCCATTTTCTTCCAAAATGAACTAGAACAGGCCAAATCTGCAAAAACAACTAAGCAATACCATTATGAAAATGTATAGGAAAAAAACATAGTTATAATGCACATTTAAATGTATAATAAATGTACACACATAATTATAGATTAGTCTCAGAAACATACCGTTGGCATTACAGGCAAAATTTGCAGCTTTCAGAAGTTCTTCATGGTCATCATCTGGCTCACCTGAAACATCATAAGCAATCGCATATCATTGCAGCCCTTAAGTTTCAAAGAGCCAAAGCACTATGTGCGGTACATATATTATAATTTATTTTTGTGTTGGAAAAAATCCAAAGAAAATAGTATAGCTCTCTAAAGAAGTTCGAAATCATATAATGATAAAGATGATTCTTCTCATTCATGGAGTGTACGGACATGCAATCCAAATGAAAGGTAAAACTTCGACAGATGGCACAATATACAGAAGGAAGCTGCTATTGGCACTAAAAAAAGATCATCCTGCACTCCTCCCTGGTGATATAAATAAGGGATGGAGGAGTGCAGAATGACTTTTTAGTGCCTACTAAAAATTCCCTATACAGAAATGTAATTAGCCAAGTATCCAAACCCTAATAATGTTTGATCCCTGAGAAAATTAAAAGAATCATTTATCTATTAATAACCCTTTTGGTACTAGTACAACAAGAAATAGTAAACAGGCCTAGTCAAAATATACCAATAAATAAAATGCTGGTACTCTACCTGCACAATCAGGGGAACCGTTGGTAGATATATGGCCCGGAAAAGCAAATGCCTTCCTATCTGACAATTTCTTCAGAGGAGGACGCCCTGACTTACTGAAATAAGAAAAAAATACAAAGCTTAAACATAATACTGTCGAGGTTTGCTTTAACAGGAAAATGCTAAACTGAGAAAATATAGATCATATGATTCTGAAAGAAAATATTAATGAATAAATAAATTAGTTATCACCTTCCATTCTTATCGGAACCAGGTCTCATACTTTTGAATGGCTTTGCTGAGGCTGGAGTCTCCAATTTTTCCCTTGTAGTTACAGTTGTAGCCCTACAAACTAATGATCCCCTTCCACTCCTTCCCTGTCTCCGAACACCAACTCCAGTTTCCTCTTTATTCAGCAATTTATTCTTCTTTGTAGGCATTATTGAAGAACCAGTATTCTGAACATCATTCACAGCTTTCTCATCTACTTCACTGCAACCTGGTCCTTTCTCTTTCAATCTACTTTCACGATTTTCACCAGCACCAGATTCTTCACTTTCAGATAATCTGGCAGGAGATGAAACTATTTCCTGTTTAATTTTAATTTGCTTGGCGCCAATCGCAACACTCTTCTGAAGCAGCCCATTGGTCCCAAAAGAATTTAATCTACCACCCACATCAGAAGGGGAACAGCTTTCTGAGGGCATCTGCACTTCATCATGGTTTGACACAGGCGACACTAGATTTGATCTTCTGGTTCGAGACATTTTCTGTGGTCTCTGACCAACCCATTGAGCCATGGGGGAAGAGGTTGATCCTGTGGGCATAGGACGTTTGCGATTGGTAGCCCCACTCACTGAATGATTTTTTGGTACACTTGGAGGTTGTTCCCATCCCTCAGGCATTCCAGATGTGCGAGGAAGACTAGGAGATGAGGTGCATGCAGTTACAGGGCCATTTCTTGGTGCCCTTGAAGCCTTTCCTTTTGTCACTGAATCAGGATTGAGTGTTTGACTATCATCGCGAACGTTTAATCTGAACAGAGTGGTCACCAGATCAGACATAAAAATATTTAGTAATAACCAGTTAAAGAAACCTTCAATGCAGCAACAAGAAACTCTTTCACAAGCATAGTATGAGCACATACTTATTGTTTCCCTTTAGTACAAGTCGCTCCTTAGTCAACCCAGACGTTAAATCCCTTGAAAGCGAGACCTTGTCCAACTCATTCTTGGGCATAATACGACCATTTGCATTGGAAGGCAAGGAATTCGAATCTAACTTATTAATGCCATTACCACCAGTAAATGACCCTGATCTGCAAGAGTGGAGAAATTTCTCGTTTTATTTAATAGCTAATAGCAAACAAGCCTAATAAGGAAGCAAAACCAGTACAAGGATTACTGCATGAAACAAGACAATTTCAAAAGAAAACCACAACTATACGACCCTGAATACTGAATGATCAAACCTCTACTTCCCTAAGAAGAGAATAAAATGTTTCAAAAACAATTCATACACTATAGGTTTGTTAGAATAACAAACACAACACATTATTTCACTCAACCCTTGGGACTTTACACGTTGAAGGAAATGTCCAGAATATAACAAAATTAAAAAAATGGCAATTCAAGTGGTGGCTACTTTTTTTCTATTCGATTTTACACTTTACATGTAAAAAAAGGGATTTTAAAGAACAACAAGAACATCTAATAAGTTGTGTAGCATCAAATCATTCAAATATGATACAACTACAGCATGTCATCACAACACCCAACTATGCTGCCAGTATATATGATAAATATACCTCTAATACAAACATTGTGAGTATATAATTTCTTGGTTCTCTAAAGTGGTGGTGGATGTTTGTTAACATATAAAGTCACCTGAAACTTTGGGCATCACAGGCTTGGGGACAAGGCTCCTCATTAGGTTTATGATGCAAGGTTCGCTTTAGCTCTGCATCACCATCCATGGACCTGCTAAATACTGTGCCTACAGAACGCTTCCTTTTCATTTTCTTATCCCATACTTCCCCTCCAGCAGGTAGTCTGCGAATCTTTTCCTCAATGAGATCAGAGCCTTCACCTCTAAGCATATCCCTATCTTTTCCCATGACCACAGGCTGCCTTGTCAGCACATTATTTCTGCTTTCAGCCTAAAAAGATAAAGTTAACCCAAATGTACATGTTATGAAAACAAGATTCAAAATTAAGTAACAAATGTAAATAGCCATGATACCCTAAGAATCTCAAACAAGTTAGAGATTTGCGGGAAGGATAAAGACTTTCAAGCTGAAACCTGAAAAATTTATAGTCAATGTATTCAGACTTCCAGCACAGGATAATGTTAAACCTGAAAGGGTGGTACTACTTTCTATCAGAAACAATTAGTACTATTTCAACACCAGTTAAATTTTTTTTACATTCTTCATTTCTAGTGACCTTTTGTTGTTTCAAATTCCCATGCCTATGTTATGGGTTCAAGCCTTTTCTTTAATTTGATTTTCTCTTCCCAGGCTGTATCTTCCTTTATTTTCTGTAAACCTTACATTTCTTAATAATTTAAGAAAGTGAAAACTGGAAGACTAATTCCACTAATGTATGTTTGCCACTGTTTATAGCATTAGATGTTAATATATAGCAATTAACTTCAAACCCCAAGGTAAACTCTCAGAATACATACCCTTATTTCTGTGACCGATGAGCGAACTCGCCTATTCATCACAACCGACTTATTCCTGTCCTCCAGCCTTTGATTCATAGGATCTGAAGAGTTTCTCGAAGCTCCCACCTTCAGCAAGTTTGATCCACCTGATCTTTCATTTGTTATAAACTCACTCCTTTGTTGCTTCTTTAAGTTTAAAGCTTCACAATACCTGTTCAATTTGTCTATGGATTCATCCAACCTTTTCGCTCTAACCCTGACCAAAAATTGTCTTAACATCAGCAGAGAGAATACTTCTTGAGACATCCCAAGGCTTACCCACTTTCAACAAGGTCGATACTACATAACCTTGAATTAGAGGTGCAACGTTCAACTATATTTATTAGAGAGATAAAGATTAACTTTTTAACTTCATAAAAAGGACATCAACACTAGAGAGGATCTCGAGCCACAAATAAACAGATTCAAGGATAAATGGAAAATTCAAAGTTATTTAAATTACCTGGCCTGGTTTGAGGCCTCTAGCACACCGGCTTTGAACCATTTTAGGTCCTCTGTAGCCACAGGAGTGTGGGGCTTCAAATTAGCTGCTCCACATGGATTGTCTTCTGCACTGCCCCCAAAAGGTATTCCCAGAACCCTCCTTAGCTCACCTAAGGGAGTAAACTTCTGATCCCCCATTGTAATAGGATCTAACAGTAAACATTGAGGTAGTGGAGGTAAATTTCCTGCCGAAGTACCATTGCCCCTTGGAGTACTAGCACCAGAACTAAGCATCCGACTCTCACCACCCTCACGGAAGCTTCCAGACCTATCGAAACTGGAACCAGGGTAATTTCCCCTCAGCCGATTTGGATGGCCCCCAGCAAAGGCCAAGTCCTCTGGACTGGCTGAACTCATCTCAAATCTCGCACCTCCCGCCATTACTCAGGCCCAAGGGAACAGGCTCATATCAACAAATACTTTCTTCCTATAAAACTAGTTCTCAAGAAACAATTTCAAATGCAGTGATCTACAAGTACTGGACAAATCATATCCATAAATAAATGGCCATTCTGAATTTATCTGACCACATCTACAATACCCATTCAGCTTAAATTAGTACAAAACCAAATACAAACTCTGTTCTTTACATGTACACAGAAAAAAATCTACACATTAAAGTCAAAGATAACAAGAATCATTGTCAGAAATAATACAGTGCCGTGTACAAGTCACCAATTGACATTCTTCCACCCCACAATGGCACACCAACCGGTTCCGATGTTAAACTTAGTGTAAGTTCACTTTCCAAAAACAGAATTGAGTTCAGATAATTCAAAACAGAGTTGACCAAAAAGCTACCTTTACCAAGTGTCCCATACAACTGGAAAAGATACTCAAGATTCCAAATTATACACCCACTAATTTCCCTAAATTCTTCTAACCAACCAACAAAAGCAACTCAGCAACTACAATTATTCATAAATTGCTCTTTTTTTTTTTTTTTTTTTACAATTAAATCAACCATTTACCGCTCTGTAAAGCACATAAACAGCTTAACTTCAAAATAATTCGGGAAACTGGACATATACCAAATTAAAAAAGATACCCAATATTACAATGCAAACCCTGGAATTAAGCTACTAAAAATTAGGGTTTTCGGAAATTGCACCAAATTGACCCTGAATTTCCCTCGCAAATACAAAATTCGGGGAAAGAGAAGCTAGACGCAAAACGAAACGCAAGAGAGACGTACCAGCATTGAGCGATCGAGGATGAAGAGATCGAATTGTAGGGTGACAAAGTACCCGTGAATTCTAGGGATTTTGGGGGTGGGGGGTGGTTTGGGCGTTGAAGGCTTGGTGCTGTAGTCGTGGAGGTTCTCTGATAGAAAGAGGAATGGCTGTGGGTCCCACTCCAATTTAGCAGCTGACTTTTTGACTGCCGAGTCCAGCAGCCAGCAAGGGAGAGAGAGGGGATCGAGGGGATTAAATTTAAGAAAAACTAACTAAAAGGTTTTGAAAATATTAAGTTTTAATAAAAAGTTGTAGTTCTATTAGATTATGGATGTCATTGTGTATATCGTAATGCATTTAGGGATATCTTAGAATATTTTTTTGTAGTTAATAATCCTATTAGAACAAGGATTTAACCTTTCTTATTACTATAAATAAAGACACAATGAGATGATATAACAAACACCTCATAATTACATTTCCTTTTTGCCGAGGGTTCTCTCCCTCTCTATTCCTAAATACAGTTTAGTCAATTAGGCCCACAACACATTATCAGTGCAGTATTGCCAGAAGCTAAGGAAATGAAAGATCGTGGATGAGGCTTTCTTCTACAACATCAAAGGCTTTCAATTATTTTCTGCCAATTAGGTTTTTTTAACATAAATTAAGATATTTGAAACGACCTTGAAGTATAAAAACATTCCCGATGATGTATGAACCCTCTATATCTATATTTTCCTTTCAATTATATATATTGCATATGTGTTCATATATTTTGTCTATAAATATATTGGATAAATTACATTTTACCTCCTTAGGTTTAAGGTCGATTTTAATTCCTTACAGCATCTTTAAAACATTTCAATTTCATACATTTACTTATCATTTTATTTCAATTTCATACATCCGTTAAAAAATTTGTTAAGTTAACCATTAAGTGATGACGTGGCGAATAAGGGGTCCCTATTTGTGCTGACGTGACCGCCAGATTTGTGCCACGTGGCTAAACACTTAATAAAATATTTAAATAATTAATTTTAAAAAAAGTTAAAAAAACAATAAAACCCAAAACTAGATAGTCTTCCCCACCCCTTTCTCCCCACCCGAGCCCACCCCCAAATCACATTCCTCTCTCTAATCCTTAAACCCAAAAACCATTTCATCTTCCCAAATTCAAAGACACCCTATTCTCCCCACCCGAGCCCACCCCCAAATCCCCCCTCATGACATTCTCTCGCGTGCTGCCCACTACTCGACGTCATCGGCCGCAGTAGCCACTGCACCTCCCACACCTACTACGACGTTGGTGAGTGGAAAAATCACAAATAATTTCACCAGAAAGGGCACCGTCTGCAAGGTCTGTCAAGTGATCTGAGCCATCGTTAATGTTAGGCTCAACGAGTGGTTGCCGCCGATCGTCACTGCTCTTGAGGTCCTGGATAACTTGAATGTGGGATTAGAGATTAGAGAGAGAGGTCCTGGATAATGGTTTCTGGGTTTAGGGATTAGAAAGAAAGGGAGTGTGATTTGGGGGTGGGGAAGGTTTAGGGATTAGAGAGAAAGAGAGAGAGTGTGATTTGGGGGTGGGGAAGATGAACTTGTTTTGGGCTTTTTTTTTTAATTTTTTAATTTTAATTTTTTATACACTTTTCTTTAATTAATTAATTTAATATTAAAAATATTTTATTAAGTGTTTAGCCACATGGCACAAATGTGGCAGCCACATCAACACAAATAGGGACCCCTTATTTGCCACATCATCACTTAATGATTAACTTAACAGATTTTTTAACAGATGTATGAAATTGAAATAAAATGATGAGTAAATATATGAAATTGAAATGTTTTAAAGATATTGTAAGGAATTGAAATCAACCCCAAATCTGAGGGGGTAAAATGTAATTTACCCAAATATATCTGTTCATGGATTACGAATTATGCTATGTGGAATTTTTGAGTCAAAACATCGAAATTAATTTAGAAGCAACTAGGGTTTTTAACCCTACAATTTAAAAAAAAATAAAAAAATTAGGATTTAACGTGGCTCTACACCGCGTTGCCGAGCTAACATGGTTGGCCTGCAGCCACTCCATCATCAGGACGACATCGTTTCAACGCCATGGACCACCATGTAGTAGCCTCATGGGCTTACTACTTTGGCACAAACAACCAAGCATTGGCCTGGGTTGAGTTTTCCACGGGCCTAAAGCCTCGAGCCCACCAACAGGCCTGCAGCCTTGCTGGGCCGTCCTTTGCAGCTTGGCCCAACCTAGCAGCAAGTCTTTGTGCTTGCTGGGCTTTGTCCTAGCCCCAACTCGCATGCAACCTACTTGCTTGCTGGGTTACCGTGCCTCGGCTCGCGATCCAAAGTCAACCTTTTGGCTGGGCTTCGTGTGCACACCTCAGGCCAGCCACGGTTGGGCTCGTGACCCTCTACGTTATTTTGGCCTAAAAACCAGCAGCTTGGGCTACTAGGTTCTTTCCTATATACGACCCGTGGCCTGCAGCCATGATACCCAAGGCCCACTAAGCTTTTTAGGGCCTTGCCTTGCACACGACAACCCAGCCCCCCAAGCTTGAGCGATAGTTTTTCGAATCCATTGCTATTTTTGACATTATCTATCATTTTAACTCAAATGTTACTATTATTTTTGCTTCTACAATGAAACCTGAATGGTTATGATACATTGAATTAATTAAAGTAACCAGCAGTCCATTAATCTGATAATTAATCCAAAATTATTGACCTGAAATTCACTTTTTGGCAATTAACGATTCAATAAATTATTTCGTTTTTTTAACCGTTGACTATCTTTCGTAGTCTCGATGCACTCACGCTTGGGTTCCTGAAGCAATCCACAAATCCACAAATTCACTACACTTTATTCTATATTGTATTTTGTGTTCTTGCATGTACCCATATATATATGAATTGAACGTTCATAATTAAATCATCTTGTAGTTTCGAATTTAATGTCTTTGAAACCTGAAGTTTTCATTCAAAACTTACCACATGAAACTCATAGCTTTCATGCTTAAATTAAACCAATATAGAACCTGTATGTCCTACGATATATGTCTATGGCTTTCCATACGACTAACCATGTTTTGTTGTACCCTCCGTTTTAGGGACATGTCGAACTTGAACAAGCTCGATTACATCGTTCTGGAAGTCTCTGGAAGAAACTACCTAAAGTGGGTTCAAGACGTGAAACTTCATCTTACTGTAAAGAGTCTTAGAGCTACAATCAAGGAACTTATCGATGATGAACCTGTCGATAAAGCTCAGAAAGCCACTACTATGATCTTCATATAAAGACACATCCATGATGCACTGCAGATCGAGTACCTTGCTGATCCACGTACCCTCTAGCTCGCTCTAGCCGATCGCTTCAATCAATAGAAAAACATCTACGCTTCCAAGGCTTTAAGTCTGTGAATGAATACAACTCTGAAGTTTGTAAAATCTGATCACTGCTTAAGTCTTGTAAAGATGACTTAACTGAACAATATATCTTGTAGAATACCTATTCGACCTTCAATGCCACCAATATTGTCCTACAACAACAATATAGGGCACATAAGTTCACCAAATTTTTGGATTTGATATCTGTTTTACTTCTTGCTGAAAAACAGAACCAGCTTTTAATGAAGAATCATCAAGCTTGACCCACTAGTTCGAACGTTCTGCCTGAAGCGTATACGACTAATTCTAGCAGCCACAACCGATGGAAACCCCATCGTGGCTATGGAAATGGGCAGAAAGCCTCACCATGGGCCTAAGGTCAACAAAACAGAGGCCCACCCAAGAGAGGTAATTTGACCCAAAAGTGCCAAGTCATTGCCCCTAAGGCCCTAAACTTCAAGAATAAGGGAAAAGCTACCGTTCAATCGGCTTCCACTGAACTAGACATGTGTTATCACTGTGGATCAAATGATCATTGGTCACACATAGGTCGAGCTACCCCCGAGGCTATTGCCAAGTACCATTTTTGTCGTGAAACTAACTGTGTGCATGTAGAACATCTCGAAGATACTACTACAACTTTGGAGGTTTCAGATTTTTAGGAGGCACATGGAAGAATAAAGTTTTATATTTCTAAGACATATTAGGGAATTTTACACCCCTAGTGGGTTAATGGCCGAACCCCTCCCCTAAATTTTAGGTCTAAGGTTTAATTTTTGGGCAATTTTTCTAAGTATTTG